CAGAGGGAGAAGCAGGCTCCCAAGGAGCAGAGAGCCCGATGCGGGACTCGATCCCAGGACCCTGGGATCATGACCTGAGCCAAAGGCAGACGCTTAACCATCTGAACCACCCAGGCGCCCAGAGCCACATCCATTTAAACAACTCTAGCTAGGTCTCTTCCAGTAGATGACGCCTATCCCTAACTGATGGAACAGGCTTTGCTCAGGATCAAAGCCTAGAAGAAGCTCCCGACGAGGATCACTGCCCCAGAGATGGCTTACGGAGGCTCCTAGAGGGGCAAGTGCCCCGTGGCAGCAAGAATTAACATCTCATCTCATGAAAAGTCTGTTTTTGACTGGCTGTAAAAGCTACGCCTAAGGCTAAAGGGCTGTGATAACTCTTTTCAACCCTTTGTTAAAGATGTTCTGCAGACATGAAAACATGGAGTCTTGTTTGACAAATATAAAGCAGGAACCTAACTGCAAATATACCAACTACTGATCTATTTCAGAGTTATTCGTGGACTGAAAGGCAGAATGGATGGATGGAAGTGTGGACTGCACTCCATTTTGCTTCACTTACTGCTTTATGAATCTTGTCCATCCTAAACTGCTTGGCACAAGTTCTGTCAAAGTTATTACTCTCATGTGAGGAATGAATTGTTTGCTTATTAATTATTCACTGGTTGCCTACCAAGAACCTGGGGTTATTATAACATAACAAAAGTGGCCCAGGCTCAGAAGGATATTAAAATATACTGAAATGAAATAGACAATCATTAAATTACATTGTAATTTTTTTCACTTTTCACATTGTGATAAAATATACATTACATAAAACTCACCATTGTCACCATTTTGAAGTGCACAGTCAATGTGTGCATTGTTAAGTACATTTCACATTGTTCTCCAACCATTACCACTGTCCATCTTCAAATTGAAAGCCTATCCATTAAACACCAACTCCCCATTTCTTCTTCCCTTTGGGCCCTGGCAACCAGCATTCTACTTTCTGTCTCTACTTGACGAAATCACACAGTATTTGTCCTTTTGTGTGACTGCTTTATTTCACACAGCATGGTGTTTTTGAGGCTCATTCATGTTGCAGCCTGTGCCAGAATTTCCTTCCTTCTTTTTTTTTTTTT